CATCTAAGGTACAAAAAAAAAAAAAGAATTATCTATGTGAGATCAAATTGACAACAGCAACTCAAAAGATTTGATGGGGGACAGTGAGCTGAAGATAACAGTGATGGAATAATTTGGAAAAGGATAGTGAGAATAGCAGCACAACTTGAAGAATGTAATCGATGTCACTGAATTGTACATGTAGAAGCTTTCAAAATGGTGTAACTCTGGCTATGTATATTTTCACCAAAAAAAAAGGTTCTCAAGGTCGAGAAGGGAGCGTGTTGACATGTCGTGGGGTTGTTAACCAATGTCATAAAACAATATGTGTACTGAATATTTAATGAGAAGCTATTTGTTCTGTAAACTGTCATCTAAAGTACAATAAAAAAATTTATATTAAAAAAAAACTCTTATTAAAGAGGAAGAAAAATTTACGAAAGAACAGATTAAACTATAGGGGCAGTAAAGCGATCAGTAGTTATCAAGGGCTAGGGATGGAGGGAGCATACGACTAAAGAGGGGCAAGAGGGAATTCTGGGGGGCTGATGGAATTGTTCTATATCTTAATTGTGGTGGCAGTTACATTATTGTATGCATTTGTCAAAATTCATACAGCTGCATACCAAAAAGTGTACACTCTACTTTATGTCAAATACACCTCAATAAAAAACTATTAATTTGGAAACAAAAAAGAATTAATTTTACTTCTTTTTATGCTTGTGAAAAGTTAAATATCTGTGGTGTTATAATCTGCTTTTAGTGTTGATTAAATTACAAAGAAAATTAAATGATATATCTGTAAAACATTTTCTTACTCTTGTAAAGATAGAAATTTATAAAGTTAAAATGAAGAAAATGTTGGGAAAAAAGAATATTTACTTCAGTCTTGCTGGTAAAAACAGACTTTTGAAAACATATATTCCTTTTTTCAATCAAATGATGAAAGAAGAAATATATGTATGTTATGTGTTTGATATTCACAAGTTGCATAATAGGAAAACAAAAACAAGCTCTAAGTTATTTCTTTTAGTTTTTATGTTTGAGAACATTAGGGAAAAATTAATGACAGGGTATAATTTTTATTGTTGTTATTAAAAACAAATTTTTTAGTTAAGGAATTCTACTTCCTCTTAAGGCTTATTTTGCGTTTTTTCCATCTTCAGGCAATGAATCTAGAAGCTAAATATTTGTTTTAAGACAATTCATTCCTGGGGCATTCTGGGAAAGAGTTTGCCTTTACTGGATGTCTAACTTATTCACATTTATTTTGAGTTATCTCATTCTAATATATCTATAAAAACGTAAGAATGAAATTAAATTGAGGTTCACTGTGAAAGCAATATATACCTGAACCACATTTAAATATATGGCATCCAGTCTATCTTAAGGAAAAGTAGAAAAACCATGGAATAAATAAATAAATAAATAAATAAATAAATAGCAAATTATTTATGAAAAGGGTTACCTAAGAGGCAGGATAAATATGAAGTCCCATTTGCTCATACATATTTAGATATTGCCTTATTTTGAAACATCCAAGCATTTATTTTATAAACACAGGTAATTACTAGACATTAGTTTAAAAAAATCTCTACCCAATGTTATCTGGACAAACCTCAGTCTTTGAAAGAAGAAAAAAGTGGTATTTTAGTCTGGTGGTGCAGTGGTTATAGTGATAGACTGCTAATCGAAAGAGCTGCGGTTTGAAACCACAAGGGGCTCCGCCGGAGAAAGATGTGGCAGTTTGCTTTCACAGAGATTTACAGCCTCAGAAACCCTATGGGGTTGCTATGAGTACTATTAATTGTAACAGTAATATTGGAACATTGAAAATACCCAATTCCCCTATAACAGAAGGATGGGTATATTGTGATATATACATACAATGTAACACCATATAGCAATGAAAATGGATGAACTACAGCAAGTTATAAAAACATGGAACAGTCTCACCAATATAATGTTTAGCCAAAAAAGCCAAACCGTTGATAAATTACTCTATTTACATCAAGTTTTAAAACAGGTCAAAGTAATGTATGGTGTCAGATGAGGGATGGTGGTTATCTTTGGAAAACGGGAGGGGACTAGACTTGACGGCACTGGATTTGTTTTTTCTTTTTGGTTAATGTCATTTTGGAGCCCTGGTGGTGCAGTGGTTAAGAGCTCACCTGCTAACCAAAAGGTCAGCAGTTTGAATTCACCAGCTGCTCCTTGGAAACCCCATGGGGCAGTTCTACGAGTCAGAATTTTCTGATTAATGTCATTTGACTCACCCAAAGTTCCCCTACTCCTTGCCCCATCTTGGAAATCTCCTCATATTTTGTAATTTTAGGGTTATACCATGAGCAAGTTGGTGTAACAGCTGCATTTTTAAAGTTAATGGCAAAAAATTATACCTTACAAGAAAAATATCTTACCACTTGTGCTGGAACTTGTTCCATTTTTGCAGCAGGAGTTCCTGGTCTTGGATAAAACTGGTTAATAAAGAGGCTTGGAAATTTGTACTCTTCAACAAGTTTCACTGTTTCCTGAAAATCTTGATCTGTTTCTCCAGGAAAACCACAGATGATGTCTGTAGCAATAGTTATTCCAGGAACTCTAGAAAATAACAAGGCAAAAAGGTACAAAGTTGACCATAAGTCATAATTATTCTATTTCTCTGACATTTTAAACACCATTGTTCTTTTTGAAATTAAATTTTATTTTTAGGAAAGGGATACTTGCAAATAGTTTCACAAGAGCCCTAAATATTAAAAGCTTATAATGAAAAGCAGTAGTCCACTGTCTTATTCTCAGAGTCACCCACCTTTAATTCTTACAGACGCTTCTTCATTCTTACCATCACATTTTTAAGTAGATGCTTACACTGATATTTCTAGATTTATTGATTTTTAGACAATACTTACTGACTTCTATATTATGGTAAATGACAATTCAGCTCTTTAAATTTCTTTCTCTCTGCTCTTCCAGCATAATCATTACACAACTTTCAGTTAAACTAATAGTATTACCACTGGTATGATTGGCAGAGATATTGCTCCCTGGTAAGCCAACTGGTATACTATCATTAAATTTGTTTTCCACAACTTTTAGTTTTTCTTAGAGTTAATAACTGCCTCTTTAAAAAAAAAAAAAAAGACTTTTTTAGTATACTATGTATCTATGGCTAGTGTTTTCCAGAAGCTCCATAACCACCCCCGCTCCCACCAAAAAAAAAAAAACCCGTTGCACTCAAGTCGATTCTGGTTCATAGCTACCCTACAGGACATAGCAGAACTGCCCAACAGGGTTTCCAAGGCCGTAATCTTTACAGAAGCAGACTGCCAAATCTTTCCCCCATGACGGCTGATAGGTTCGAACTACCAACCTTTCGGTTAGCAGCCGAACTCCATAAAATCTATTAAATACCAGTATTTTCTTCTAAACATTCAATGTATCATATAATTCACCAGTCCTATTTTTTTCATCTGGAGATGCCACTCTTGCTTTTTCAGGTGTGTTTTGCTTTCACAATGAATCTGCTGTCATCCTTGAACATTGTTTCTTTCATTCAATTCCCCTTTTCCTGGATCCTATATCTTAATTCTTGATTAACTTTCTCTCCCTCATTCTGCTGGAGCAGGCTTTCAGAAGCTTCATCAGGAAGAATGCCAGGGAAATTGGCTGTTAAGTCTTAGCATGTCTGAACATGTCTTCATCCTCACAACTGGTTTGACAGTATGGCTGTGTATAGTACCATTAAGTTGAAAAGTATTATCTATCAAAACTTCGCATTGTTCCGTTATTCAAAGCATCATTTTGTTGTTGTCGTTAGTTGCTGTTAAGTTGATTCTGACTCATGGTGACCCCACGTGTACAGAGTAGAACTGCTCCAAAGCGTTTTCAGTGCTGTGACCTTTCAGAAGCAGATCTCCAGACATGTCTTTCGAGGTGCCTCTGGGTGGGTTCAAACAGCTAGTAGTCAAGTGCTTAACCACTTGCATCACCCAGTGACTCTACATTATTTTTCAGCTGGCAAAAGTTGCTGATGAGATGTCCAAATACACTCTAAGGCACAATTCTTTACATGAATCCCAACTCTCTTTCTGAAAACTTTTAGGATATTCTCAATGTTTTTAAATTTCATGATACTATACCTTGGATTGGTTCTTTAAATCTGTGTGCAGGGATACGAGAGACTGCAGTTATGCAGTCTGAAGACCTATGGTCTTTAGTTCTAGGAAATTTTCCTATATTATTTCTTTGATAATTCATTTTCTTTCTATGGGCCTCCTCTCCTTTGGATGCTGAAACTACAGAATTGGCCCCTAAGCTTTTTCAGTCTTTATTTTCCATCCTTCTCCTTTTGTTCTATTTTTCGGAAGATTTAATTAAGTTTAGCTTCCAACTTGTCTATTGAAAAAAATTTAACCGAAAATCAAATTTTAAATTTCCAAGAGGATTTTCTTGTTCTCCAATTTTCCTATTTTATAGCATCCTACTCTTTTTTTTTAATAGATAAACAGTAACTTTCCTTATCTCTCTGAAGATATTAGTTAATGTTTTCGAAAATTTTCTTCCGCTTTCTGTAATTGTGCCTATTTTCCACCAAGCTCTTATATTTTGGTTCCCTTCATTCATAGTTGAGACTTCCTCACAAATAATGAATGGTTCTTGCTGATTTTTTCATATTTAAGAGGAAAGTACAAAAGCTTTTCATTACAGAGTGATGGGGTAGTAAGCTGTCTTTGTTTTAGTAGACTCCACCAAATGTTAGCATCTTGGAAGTTATATCTGTGAGGCCATTCACTTTCTCCATAAGTATGTTCCTAGATCCTACCAAGGATTACATAATTTTATTTTGGTGTTCTGTGAGAATAACGTTAACAATATTAAAAAATCCAGTATTATAACAACAGAAAAATAACCTCAAATATTTAAAATCCAAGAATAAATACTTAATTTATACCCACTGCCATCAAGTCAATTCCAACTTACAGTGACCCTATAAGACAGAGAAGAGTTGCCCCATAGGGTTTTCTAGGCTATAATCTTTATAGAAGCAGACTGTCACATCTGTCTCCTGCAGAGCAACTGGTGGATTTGAACCACCAACCTTTGGTTAAGCAGTCCAGCACTTAACCACTGCGCCACCAGGGCTCCTTACCTAACTTATAGGTATATCAATTTTCCTAATAAATGTCAATTTTCCTATCACCTAAATGCAGTTCTATATGGATGAATAAAGTAATTAAGACACATGATATATTTTAGGGCATAAGAGACAAAAAAAAAAAAAAAAGGATGCATCAGGAAGGAACGCTGAATTACTGGATTCCTAATACAAACAAGGAACCCTGGTGGCGCTGTGGTTAAGCACTTGACTGCTAACTGAAAGGTTGGCAGTTCGAACCCACCAGCTGCTCTGTGCGAGAACGATGTGGCAATCTGCTTCTCTAAGGATTTACAGCCTTGGAAACCCTATGAGGAAACCTTGGAAACTCTATGAGGCAGTTCTACTCTGCCCGTTGCTATGAGTTGGGATCAACTCGATGGCAAGAGATTTGGAGTTTTTTTGGTTAATACAAACAACAGCTTTCCAAGCTTTGTTTGCATACTACTTTAATTTCTGTGGGAAAAAAGAATGATAAATTTATTGTTTAAAATATTTCTTTCTGAATTCTACTTGGTCTCATCTATTAATTTGGCTGAACTTTAATTAGTAAGATAAGTTCCAAGTTCTGGAGCTTTTCTTTGTGATGATAAAAAGATACAATATACATAGGAAAAAAATGAAACAGTATATTTGAAAAAAAAATTTTTAATTTTTGTTATGACATAGAAATCTTTTTTTTCTTTAAGGGTGATTATCAAAGCCATAAATATCATATGCTTTAGCAGAAAGCTGTAAATTAAAAGACCACTTTCTCAACTAACTAATAAAGCATGTAGAATTTAAAAAAAAAGTCAATAAATTTTAATTAGCTGGTTTTATACTTGCCTTATAACTATTCCTGATGAAAAGAAATCCACAACTAAAAATAGCAGTAATAGATCACAGCAGACAATGAAATAGAAGAGCCCATCCGCCCAGGAAATTAAAAAAAAAAAAAAAAAAAATCCTAGAAATTGCCTGTGAAATACAGCAGAAACAAAGACAATTGGGTTATTGTCCTAGGGTATGAATTGGCATGAACTTGGCACTAGACTACGGGGTATTCCCAAAGGAAAGTACCTTACTGTTTTCCCCCATCTTTCTTGATCCATTTTAGTTCAGCTCAGTATTATACAACACCTGATTACTTTGGCCTTGAGGTCCACAGTGAAATAGAAAACACAAACTTTTAAAAAGGAATTGTCATAAATGTTAAGAAAGGAGACGTTCAATGCATAGATACATTTGATAATTTATGTAAAAATCAGACTGACATGGCGGGGAGGTCATTAATGAATTAGTGAAAGACCTGTATTAGTGAATATTTACAAGTAATAGCAATTTAATTGGTTTAAAAAAATAAAAATATAAACTGCTTATAAATGGTTTTTTAATTAGAGATTGCACATTAATGTTAGCTGAAGCTCATCTATACATTAATTTTAGATATGTAAATGATGCTGCTTAAGTTCTTGAAAATGATTTAACCCTTTAGGTGGATCAACTAAAACCTCATATTTAAACTGTTAATTTAATTATTAAATAATTCTCTTCAGTACATGGAAAAAGGAAATAACCACCAGAAATGGGACAAATCCTAAATTATTGTCATATTTAAGTGTCTAAAGAAAACTATAAGGGGTTTTCGTATATAAAATGGAACATTAATCCACATATTTAAGGTGTCAATTCTGGGTAAATGCTGTTTTGATATGCTATGAACTTTCAAAATACTAAAATCTTAAAAATGATCATTTCTACAAATTTATTAAAGCTGTGAGTCTAATGTATATAATTATTAAGCAATATTTGGCTTTTTAAATGTAAAACTCTCTGTATTTCATTTCCAGGCAACATGGCGCTATAATCAGAAGCACCACGCCGTCCCTCCGCAGCAAAGATCAGAAAAACTAAGTCAAACAGAGACACACGTCAATCCTGAAACCCTAACCATCAAATGAAGAGATAAAGAACTCATCCAAGCACCGAATGGAATAAGAAACTGACCGAGAACAAAGAGTGAGGAGAGATACATGCAGAGGTCCACTATCAGCTACTACAGCATGGATCTGTCATCTTGGACTCCTATCAGAGATCAGCGAATAGGAGGTACGAGAAAGCAGCTTCATGGAGCTTCTAGAAGGAGACAGAACAAGTGGCAACCCACGATATAGGCTTTCCCACCCCCACCCTTCTTCACCCCCATTTAGCCTCCTCTGCTTCCTGCAGCCACAGTCTATTGGCCGGGAAGTACGAGCTTTCCCCCAGTGCCACTTGGATTCCACCTGCCCACACTGGCCAGCTTCCTGAGTGCCATTTGCTGGCTGCTGGTGTTGCTTTTTTCCGCTTCTTTAGATTTCTTCCTTACCTCTCACCACCTCCCACTCCTTTCTCTCAAATACCTGTCTCTGTGCGCCATCTTTGCTTCTTCCTGAAAGGCTGTGAAATACCGTTCAACCATGAA